CCAACAGACGACATGCTATGATCAGATCCACGCCAGACGCTGTACACAGTTTCAGCAAACTTTTGCAACATGCCTTCCCGGGGTTCCGTGAAGTCCCAACCTTGAACCCTGTGGCAGCCCCAACCTAGTCCCCCAGGCACCTCCAGTAGTGAACGTTTCGAATCAGCTGCGTCCGGCACGCAGACAGAAACCTAAGGTGGCAGCAAGATGTCGCGTGCTGGGTAGAATGTCGACACTAAGAAAGCTTGAGCAAGCTCCTGGACTGGAACTAGAATAGCAGCTGCCAGCCCGAATCCTGCACGCATTCAACATCTGCGCACCAGCTGTCATCGTCGGCCGTGGACGTGCCGAGGATGCACAGAATCACTGCAATCTGCCAATGTTGCATGGTGTCCGCCCCAAGGCAGATCGAAATGGGTCCATCACCTTCCTACTGTGAGCAGCGCAAGCACATTGAACTATGGGCTCGAGGCTGCAGGTGCTTTGTTAAAGTCTTGCACTGCCTAGAGGGCGATTTTTTGCCTGCCACCTGGCTAGGACGAATCTACGATGCCGGGTCAGATTGGTGGGGTTACAAACTGCTCCGTTGTTGGAGGTTCACAAATGACTATCAGAGCTTGTCAACGCCGGGGCTGAAGCTTGAAGCAAAAGAAAATCGGCGGCAGTTCAAGGATTGATTGCTCTCTGTTGGCTGGCCATCTATAGGAGCACATGAACTGTCGTTTGTCTTTGTCTGGGGTGCAGGACTGGGAGAACCCCACGCCGACAGACTGACATGTCCAAAGATTCGCGATTCCCATCCCGTGACGAATGCAAGTCCCGGAACTCGTTGCAAACTTACAGCGACCAAGAGAAGCATATCCGATTCATTCAGCCCCACAGTCCGAACCCAGGAAGTCCGAGCCCCACGTGGGTGCTAGCGGCCGGACCATCCGCGCGAAGTCGTATTTGGCTGATGTGGCCACCAGCGCAGGCGACCCACGCCTTGCCGCAACTGTTTGCCTACCTGCCTTCTGACGTGAGGCCATGAGGCCGCTCGCAGCCGGATGAGCAGAAATCCCTGGTTCTAAAGTTCTACAGTCGATCCTTCCGCCATATCACTGCAGAGCAGATGGCTGGACCTTGGAAGCGGTGCGCATCGCTTTCGACTCTCCA